AATGACTTAAGCAAAGTGTCCACTGAACTAAAAAATAAAACAAAGGTAAAACAAAATTATTAGTCTATGTAATTCTCCGAATCTTTACTGTCGTTATTAGACTCAAGTTGGCCGATCATTGAAGTTGAAGGTCGAGGATTAGCCTTTTGTGTTAGCGGGATATTAGGTAAAAATTAAAAGGTCTAGAAAATAAAATCTTTATTTAAACTAATATACTGAAGACAGTCTATCTTTTCGTTGAATGGTATTTGCGAAAACAATCTCCTATGCATAGTCCAGGTTTTTCGTCACAATCAGCACACTCGTAAATTGTGTTTTTCCTAATTTTATGGATAGAACATATTCTACACAAATATTTGACATGGGCGTGGGCTGTGTTCAATATGCGTTAGTATTGAAAAACGTGTACTTGGACTAGGTTGGACCATACGTGGGCTGCGCGTGGGATGTGCGTGGGCTGTGCTTGGGCTGTGCTCAATTTGCGCCGGGCCTTACTGGCAAATTTTTATAAAATTCGTGGTAGTGCGGTGGAATGTAAGTAAGCAAATCAAACATGTGTTTTTTTTTAAACTTTGACAGGTCTGCGATTTGGGTAGAGTTGCTCTTGAACAATATTAAAGAACTTAGGTGGTCTTCCCTTTCCGGACTTTTTTGCAATGTTTATCTCGTTAAATGGAAAATCTTCTTGCAGTGTTTCTTTATAGAAAATAGATTCCGGTTTATTTTTGAAATATTTAAGCCATTTTATGTTCAACCAATTAACTTTTCCCCTGTAGTATCGATTTTTTTATTAATGATGCTATTTTCCAACATTTTTGTCGAAAGAAATTCTTCACGTTTCATTTCAATTATTTTAAATGAATTAGTCTTTTTAGCAGTGGCAACTAAATTAATCCAATCTTCAGGACCATAAATAAACAGTTTTTTCTTTGCCTTTGTCTCAATAACCCCAAAATCTGCATCATTCGGAAGGTAGCTATGATCTGAGGTGAGAAATTTATGGTCGATTGAAGTAGCTTTCAGTTCAGGGTCTTGTACAAGTTTGAGCAGTGATAGACTTAGTTTAATATTGCGGTTCTGGCCTGTACAGCAGTCCGAATACAAAATGATATTATCACAATTTCTTGCATTCATTTTTAAATGTTTTGTCAGGCAGGAGGCAACTACTTGTGAACCTCGAGATCCCTCTGTTTCATCCCACATAAACATGTACCCCTTATTGTCGTTAAAACTATGAATTCCCAAATTGTAAACATATAGGTTCATCTTGTAATAAGCAACAGATGTGCTTAGTTTGGGAAAAGGTAAAGCTTTTTGTAGATCGAATGTAAGAATATAAGTGTTTTCATCAGCTACATGTTTATCTTTGTTAAGCGAATCTCTCGCTAGTTTTACCTTTCTGAGATGAATTTCTTTATCGGTTTTTGCTTTATGTATATCTTCGTCGTTATTCCCAAATCTGATGGTATTATAGAAAGAATCACGTAACTGACAGGTATCTTTAGATGGAGGTTTAAAGTCAAGATTAAAATTTGAAGAGAAAACATGATAGTATATTTTTTCTTTGACTGATTCTGAACCTTCCTGTTCACATTTCTCTTTATAAAGTTGATACATCTTTCTAATATTTAAATCTGGATTTAAATATTTTCTATCTGGAGCATCACAAAGTGTATAGTGGTTCTTATAGCAAGGAAATGATTTGATGTGCTCCTTGATTTTCATGACGTCTATTTTATTGGTTGGTTGTTTGTGACCTCTTTTGTCTATGCAAGAAGCCTCGTACTACAAGACAGTTTATAGATTCGCCTCTCACTCACTTGAAAGGTATCTTAAAAAAATTTCTTACACACACGAATGGACAAGTCTGTAGTAGTTAAGTAATACTTTACTGATTTAAATCTTGGCGCTCTTGATCCATTTCTGAAGCGACGTTTTTGAACAGAGCTGTTATGATTCAGTCCTCGAAGATAAATGTTCTGCTTTGTATTGTCAGCTAACTTGTAAAATGAGTCAAAAATGAGTTGTCGTTCTTCGAGTGTTCTATTGGAAAAACAAAATCGTCTAAATTTACAATCAACATTTTTAAATGATTTGCCAGGTATGTTCTTCCGGTTTCTATTCACGTAAGATTTTCCACTATACCGTCGAAATGCGTTGACTGTCCGTGTCCATTCTGTTGGATTTATTTTGCGCTTTCTCCCTTTTGTCGAAGATTCTACCATAACGCCCCCTTTACTTTCAATCACTTAACTGCCTTTATTTTAAATATTACTTTTAATAAGATATTTATTAAAAGAAGTATGGATATCAAAATATTGGTATTGGTATTAACTTAAGTAAAAAGTGGTATATTTTACTTATATAAGTATACTTATATAAGTAAAATATATTGGAAAATGAATGTAATATATCCTTGTAGAAATAATAAAAAATTCTATCGTGTCTATTCGCCACCATTGCTATTATAATCGATAAATAGTTTTAGGGACTAAATTATGGTCCTTGGTTTCCCTGGATTCTGGTTCTAGGTTAACATAAAATTATTTATTAAGAGGATTCTTGAGATATTTAGTTAAATCCATTAGATCGCGAAACTTAGATTGACTTATTTTATTTTTCGCTTTGTTTGTTATCAGAATTATTTGTTTTGGTGTTGTTTTTTCAGTAATAGTGTGGGACGTCCATGGGCCGTGATAATTTAGACCCATTAAAACTTATCCAGGATACTGCTCATATATTCGGTAAATTCCTGCTGGTTTTAACGAAATTTTTGGTTTTGGATTCTTCAAAAATAAATCCTTAAAACTTTCGTCCATAAAAAACCAGTCAGTTTCTTTCCCAACATTAACCACTTTAAATAGAAAAGGTTTAGACCTTGGCTGCCGAATGAGATCATCCCATTCTTATGGACTATCAACAACTACTTATTTTGCACAAGAAATAAGACTAAAGTCACTGTCGCAAGGTAGGTATGAATTTCTTCGTATGGGGTATACGTGTGTCATCTCTGATGCTACTTTCAGTACATGCGCCAGGATATATGAAAAGCGCACAAAGTCGTAGTTTTTGTTCTGGCAGTTCTGACCCGGACAACCATCGACGGAAAACGATATTTCATCCGTTTTACCTAGGATATGACTTTTCAAATATTTAAATATCATGAAAGTCACATTTTGACCACTGTTAGCCATTCCTTTGTGATAGGTATACATATTAACATTATCGCCTCCAATGTTGTGTACTTCAAATACATAGTACCAAAGTGATCTGTTGTAGAAGATTTTATTTGTAGTCAAATTGGATAGCAGAAGATTTTGCGTAAAGTCAAAGTCTATTGCAAATGCATTATTACAATGCTGACATTTATGTGTAATTTTTCGTTTTATATCATAAAATGCCTTTGATTTAGTGTGATGAAGGTCTCTCACTTGAAGCAGTTCCTTCTTTGTTGATTCATCAATATTTGGCAGTTTGAGTTGGGTTTTAGTTTAGTTTAGTCAAAATGATATGTATGTAGATTTTACATTTAGCTCTGATGGTAGATACATTTTCTTTTTGTCCAGTCACCGTATATAATGACTTTGGTACTTTGGCGGCTTTAAACGAAGAAATATGAGCTTTTATGTTTTTTATGTCAGCAAGGTGGGTCTTCTTATGGCCTATTACTCTCAGTTACCCCGGAAATACTACAAAGAGCTTTGGATCTTTGCCACAAAGGTAGTCGTTAGTCCAATGTTCATTGCTACATTGCATGTGGTGAATCTTATCTATGTCGAGCTTTGTTTGTATCTTCATTTCCACTGTCACTATTAGTATTATTTTTAGGTAAAGTAACTTGTGAAATACGACTTCGTCGCCTTTGAACAGGGATAATGATAATAAGGCTTATAAATATGAATTCTGCTCTTCTTTGGTCTTCATAGTAATAAACAAATTCAGTAAGGCAGAACTTTGTCCTTGACTATTATATAGAAGCAGCGGTAACTTTTACACCTACAATCCAGATTGCAGGTGTAAAAGAGTTTTACACTTGTTATAAGAGAAAAACTTACATACTTCCTGTGTCACTTCCTGTTGTTTAGGATAAAACAACCTTATCACCTCTATGCGTTGTCTGTGCTGCTACAATGTATTTTAGCTTGCTATAAATCATTTCCCTTCGATAAACTTTTCTTTTACGCTTTCCTGGTTAATCTGTAATTCAAATTTCACAAATGCTATCATCCATAATATTAGTGTTGTGTTACGCAGTTTCCGTCATGGTGAACTATTTCTAATACAAAATAAACAAACATCACGCATTACTAACAAAAAACGCACACGCACGTCAATAAATTTATGGACAAGATCATTCATGCTTAGCGATGACCGTTGAATAACATGGGACAAGTGTTGCTTTTACGCTTCTGAGGAATCTTCTATATTTACTCCAGGCATCTGAGATTTTTACACAACTAAATGTGTGAGATGGAGAAAAAAATAACTATTTTATGAAAATAATACATTCAGACGAATTTTCTAAAAATGGACATTTATTAGAATGCGCAACACAATTTGTTAAAAGAGTAAACAAAAAAAATCGTAAATGTCCATTTATATATTAAAATATTTTACCAGTTTAAAGAAAATAGAGTTTAATGTCGATTTTGGGAGTAAACTAAACAAATTATAAACAAAACTTCTAAAACTAAAAACACATATTTTTAGTTATAGTTAATTTTATGCAATGAAACAAAATATATTGTCCTGAAAATATGAATAACTTTAAAATCTTACTCTTTAAAATGCATTTAACTTACATAAATTACTATTATAAGTGAGACAGACAAAATTAAGAAGACTCAAAAAGCAACAAAAAGAAAAAATGTAATTAAAAAAATGTTTTTGAAAATGGCGTTTACTCGGGAGACCTAATTAATAAAAATATGTTTATTAAATTGTATGCTAATTTTATGTAGAAAAATCTTTAATTAACACAGAATTATTTTTGATTTCAGTATTTTTTATTTTTAACTCGCCACTTCCATGATATTATAAGAAGGAAAAATGGAGGAACCTAAACACGATGAAAAACAAAAGAAAAATCCATTTGATAGCAGTAATATTTTATCAGAATTATTTTTCTGGTAAGTAAAAATTTTAAAAGATTTTTAAGAAATTAGTTAGGTTAACCACAATATGGTATAAAAAGTACGCCAAATAATAGGATAATGAACAGATTTATTGGGTGTCGACCGATATGCGCTCGACCGTTTTGCGCCCTTACCTGAAATCGGCCGGTTTGCGCTCTAACACTTTCTTAATGGAGATGTATAGCTAATTATTTTCTTATATCGACCGTTTTGCGCTCTCTTGTAATCGACGTTTAATTTTATTCTACCATACCGATCAGGTAACGGTTAGGCTAGTAAAATTAGTTTTTAAACATCATAAAACTATAAAAAATAAAAATAAACCAACTTCCCTTAACACTTTCATTCAGGCTTAGGACTGTCATAGTTTATAAATAATATAAACATTGGCGTGTATTGAAGATGTTTTTTTTATTTTTTTATTTTTTTTTCGTTTTTTTTTTTAATTTATTTTTTTTTTGTTTTTTTTACAATTTTTTTGTTTTTTTTTCGTTTTTTTTTTAAACTTTTTATACAGTAAAATACAAAAAATTCTTGGGAATAAAAAATTGTCTATTTATTGCAGCTTCTGGATATATGCCAATGTCCTTAAACACAACCTTCAGTCCCTTGTATCTTTATATTTCTGTAAAGTTTTGGATATTCTTTCATCAAGATTAATATATGTTTTCTTGCGCCGCTTTCCTTCTAGATTGAAAGTAAATTGATCATAAAGGTGATCACAATATTCTGCTTCTTTAACCAGGCACTGCACTAATTGGAATACATTGCGATGTGGTCTTATATTAATGTATTCAGACGATGATTCCAACCTTCTAAAACGTTATTATTGCGATGTCTTTGGTCATTGCAATTCCACACTTCCTTTGTAATGTGAGTATTTTCTAACCATTGTTTGACAAAGTAGTCATAAAACTGTTCCAAATTGTTCAGAAGTAGAAGAGGTTTCTTGAATGCATAACCAGCCATCATCGATATCTTCTATGAATAGATACGCTAACGCAGCACAGATTCTTATGTGCAAACGTATCTCTTCGTTGTCAGTATATTCAGAAACAAGTCCAATGTTTTGAACATTTTTCCATATACATTGATTGAAATGAAAATTACAACCAGAAATTTTGGCTTCGGAAAAATAATTTTCTAAGGCACCAATCACTACCTGTTCAAAATCCAGGTAGAAGGACTATAAACAGAGGTATTAAAGATTAAAGAACACTTTGTTGTTCGACAGTATTACAAAAATTTAATAATTTTGTTAGTTTTGATTTGACATTTTTTTCAAATCTAAAGGAAAAAGATATTTCTGTTTGTTTGACATGTTAGTTTGTTCATTGCAGGTTCACCAGACTATTATTGTAGAATGAAATTAAAATTATATTGCAAGAGAGTGCAAATCGGCCGATTAAGGAAACTATAGTAGTTAGATATTTCTATTATGAAAATTGCAAAGCGCAAACCGGTCGATTTCAGGTAAGGGCACAAAACGGTCGGGCGCAAACCGGCCGTATTCGATTTATTGTCACCATATTGATAGAAATTCTAGGAAGTGTTTTACATAATACGTATCTATGTATAAGGTATAAAAGTATCTAGTAATTATACTAAACGACATTTTACTATATCTAACGCAATTACTATATCTTTACATTTTAGAATGTTTTCTGTTCTTCTTAGGATGCCTGTCCGTTCCGAACGTTGGCGATCATTCTGGCTATGATGACTTTGTTGGTTGCTATACGAAATAGCTGTGTTGAGGTCTTTCTATACCATGCTCTCAGGATATTCTTCTTCATCCTGGGGCCCTTTCTCCTCCAATTTTACCTGTAAAATGCATTGAAGTTTTCTGCATTTAATGTTTTCTGTAACTGTTTTCTATTCTACCGACAAATCTGAAGATGCAGGAAACACACATTAATTTTTTCATTACTTTGATGGGAAGGTGAGGATGATGATAAAAACCTGGAAGGCAAAAAAGATGGGGTAAGCGGAACAAATGAGAAGAAAGATTAACCACCAATGATCTTTGAAGTTAAAAAACTAGTCACAATGAAATCACCTAATATAGATAATTCCTCAGCTAAAGAAAGAAGTCATAGGTGGACATGATACCATAATGGCATTATAGCAGCTTATAAAAATATAAAAACATATGGGCAACTTAATCCCTCCCAAATGATTGGAATATTGAAATACTATGCACCATATACAAAAAGAAGATATCTTTGAATGCTCTAACCACAGAGAAATTACATGTCTGGATGTAGCGTATAAAATATTCTCCGCTATACTATGCCACCATACGGCACCATATGCTGAACGATTAATAAGAAAATACAGGCTGTTTACAGAGGTGGTAAATCGACAATTCATTAGACTAAAACACTTAGACAAATTTTAGAAAAAACACTGGAATATGGCATAGATACTCACCACATATTTATGCACTATAAGGTAGCCTACGACTCTGTAAATAGAAGAGAAATGTCTAAAGAAATAAACGAGCTAGAAGTAATAAATCAGTTGGTTAATTTTACAAAACAAACCTTTAAAAAGTTTGACTGTAGAACTGTCTGAATCTTTCAAAGCAGGTAACAGTCTGCGACAAGGAGATCCTCTCTTATGTATACTGTTTAGTCTGGCTCTGGAAAAAGCAATACGTTCGCCACAAATTACAAACCAAGGTTCAATATATAACAAAAAAGTGGAAATTCTTGCCTATACTGACGATATAAATATTTTTGAGAGAACGAAAACAGTTGTATGAGAGGAAGAAAATAGATAGAAAAAAAAATAAGCACGCAATCACGAATCCTACGCCTACAAAAAGGTGCTAGTTTGGGCTAAGCCTTAACTAAATAAAAAAAAACAAATATGAAAATACAAAATAGTAATACGCTCAGTCCTAATATATGGTTCAAAGTTCTGGACTCTAACAGAAAATAATTAAAACATGTTGGGATGTGTCAAGAGAAAAGTACTTAGTTTAATATATCGAGCGGTGAATGAAAATATGAAAAAGACGATACAACTTTAAACAAAAGACACCTCTTAAGGAGTGTTTTATTAATAAATAAAAAATAGAATATATTAATAAACAGATATCTTAAAATACGGTAAGATAGGATATTGAAGGTTGGTAGGGCATGTAATACGGATGGAACAAACTGATTCAGCTAGAAAAATGCTCCTTATAGACCCTTGGTGAGAGAATAAGAGAAAGATCCAGAACAAGGATCATATGATAACATCGATGATGACATGAAAAATAATAGAATACGTGCTTGGTAAAGGAAGGCGAAAGATAGGAAAGATTAAAGAGACATTCTTGAGGAGGCTAGAACCCACACAGTGTTGTAAAGCCAGAATGATGATGAAGTTGCCGTATATGAACTCAAAGTTATTATATTTACTAACGTTTACAACCATTTAAAATACACTACATATAAATTGGCAATAGAGACTATAAATGTAGCTTAAATTAAAATTAAAATTAAAAGGATTTTTATGTCGTAATTAAAGTAATTTTTAATCTTGATATTGATATAATATGGATGCTCAGATGTTAATGCGAAATATATGATATGTATAAATATAGAACCCACTGTAAAGATATGGTTAATAAAATTTTCAGAGTAAACCAATTAACAAAGAGAGGAATATAGCGATACTGCAGCACTCAAATATCATCAGTGTTTAAAATTGGAATACTCAACTAGAGTAGATAACTCAAAGTTATAATTACAATAAAAATCGAATAGTTTAACTATTACCATGAAATCAAACGAAATAAAAAAACCTTAAACCAAAATTGATATAAATTGACGTAGTAATTTCCGAGATAACTAATATATTCCATATTTTAAAATCACTCTATATGTACACTTGTCCAACTGTAGTATTGAGAAACCATGTAACATAATTTTATTAGCGCCAGCAGCGCCACGTATAGACAATGGTGAGCTTTTAGGCCTTTAAAGATAGTTTATTATTTTTGTGTATTATTTTATTTTAATTAACCCAGTTTAAAAAACTTAAAATTAAAACATTGGAGAAATTAAACACATCACTAGGAAGCAATTTATCCTATGAAAGAACCTCAAATAGAGATATATACCCTTGTTAATCTGTAGGATAATAAAATAACTTATAAACTCAAACTGTATAGTATTTAATTATAAAAAGTAAAAATAACATTACAAAGTGCACATGCTTTTATTACACAGAGTATCTTAACCTACCTCCGACTCGAAGCATAATGTTTTGTATCCAAGAAGGGAGCAAGTTTCTAAGTCTAACCAAAGTTTCTAAGGAATTCGTAAGCTCTTATACCTCTAGAGGTCCCTGTCTTTTATTTTCTTTATTTTAGCAATTGTATTTAAGACGAAAAATGTAAGCAACTGTTTTTTGCATTCTAGAAAATTTAGAAAGTGCTGAAAGGGAAATAAAAATGAAGCTAAATAAAAAATTAAAAGAGGGAAAGCAAAATAATTTAAGGTAGTAGATAAAACAATAGATTTCATATCCGGCAAATTAGCGACATTTTCTCAAGAATATTTGTCCAAAAACAATGTTCACTTGCCAGCCAAGATGATCCATGCTACCAAAGCTCTAAATCTAAAATATTTCTAGGATATAAATTCCTAGAAATAATGTCGGCTGGGTTATCATGTGTTGAAATATATCGCCATTTTAAATTTTCTGTTAAAGATTGGATTTCCGAAACTCTGTTACTTGTAAAGATCTTTAGTAGATTGAAACCCGTTTGTATTTACGGTACAGCTATAGTAGAGTCTCAATGTAAAGTTGAAGACTCGAATTCCATTTGCATCGACTTCTTAACCTTGGCAGATAAGCGTTTCAGCAATAACATGGCGCTTAACTCTAGACGTGGAATTGTTAACGTTTTTAAGTAAGTCACCTTTGATTTTGCACAGAGTAACTCAATACATATATCACCAGTTGCATTTACACTTCGTAAATAGATGAGAGCA